ACAATTTGGGCTGTCCGCACGGCCAATTAGGTGAGTGTAGTGGCGAGTGAAGGCGACGCCCAGGCGAATTCGGTGCAGTATATTAGCATGTCTTCGGCTGATTTTATCTGGAAGACGAAAAGTCATACCGGGGTCTGTTTCCCGCAGGCGTATTTGGGCATTCATTAAAGTAAAGTTGTTCGCTCAAGCAAGGTGCACCACACATACACCTGTCCGATGCAGTTATATTGAATCGATGAAGATAATACTGAAAGTGTCCGTGACCAGATAATAAGTGTGTTAGGTTTTTAGGAGGCGGGAACCATTGAGGAATTTTGTACGGACTTGTAATCCACTGAAATAGCGTTGTCTCAGGTCCCTCAGTCTGCCAATGGGTGTGTCAATATGAATTCAAGATTTTATGAAACTGAGTTCGTATTGACCGAATAGATATTTGGGCGTAACGCACGAAGCCTGATTTTCCTCCTAATGCAGCTGCAGCGTCAGCTAGCTCATTTCCCAAAATTCCCATATGGCCAGGTACATGAAACAATTTTATAATTTTGCCTGACGAGATTATATGATTAAGAAGCAGCTTAATGTTTCGAATTCTTTCATCGTTATCAGTGAAACTTGAAAGCTTCATTAGAAGCGATAGACAGTCTGTGTAAATGTGGGCTGGCGTGTTAAAGTTGTTTGTAAAAACGAAATAAAGGGCTTCTTGGAATGCTATTAATTCCGCGTCGTATGCGCTTGAAGCGTTGCGGATCTGAAATTTTCTAACAGTTATGATTTTTCCATCCTTTGTCAAAGCAATATATGCCGCACCCGCCGCGTAGGACGTGTATGAGCCGTCAGTGTATACGTGAATGGCTTTTGTTTTGAAAATAACCACTTCTTGTGATGGTGAGAGTTTAGTGAAAGTAAATTTATATTTTTTACTGGGGTGATGAGCCCACGGACTGCATGGATATAGTATGTCAGCCGGTTTGAATGTTTTCACACCATAATAAGTTACATTCCGGAGTATGAATAAGGAAAATTCTGCAGATTGTCTGTCCAACTCTAGTGGTAACGGAGGCGCGTTAGCGAGAATCTGTAGGAATGACGTACGTGTGGTGTAAAATGCACCTGTTAAGGAAATTAAGACGGTTCGCTGAACTGATAAAACTCGCGCCCTAATGAATTTTTATGGGAACATAGGCCACCATACCGGTAATGCGTACGTGAGAGAGGGAAATATCACTTGACGGTAGAGTCGCCTAATGAGTGTACTTTTTAATGAACGGTGCGATTTAACAAATGGGAGGAGCCGGGACGTGGACACTTCAGCCTTTCCTTTAATATAGTCAATGTGGGCATGAAAATTTAAAGAGGGGTCAAATAATACGACTAGAATCTTGATTTTTTTCTTGTGTTTGAGAAAAATGCCATCCATGCGAATAGATGGGCAGCGTTTTGATGTACCCATGTGTCCATTATTAAAGAACACGAAGAACGACTTCTCGGCGCTTACGGTAACTTTTTGTTCTCGTGCCCAACCAGATACCAAAGCCAGGACATGCTCAGCCTTTGCTTGTTATCGGAGTCTTGACTTATCTGTGATAACAATGATGGTATCGTCCGCGTACGCCTGTATGTGTACGTCGGGTGGCACGGGAAGATTGAGTAAGCTGTATATTACTATGTTCCACAGTAGCGGACTGATAGGGGATCCTTGCGGGCTGCCAATTGTTGTACGAACTGTCTCTTCTGCAACGTTGGTTGAAAAAATTACAGTGCGGTTCGATAAAAAAGATTTAAGTAGAAAGTACAAGTTTTGTGGACACCTGTGCTTGCGTAAAAAGTTCAAGACTGCAGGATGCCAAACACTATCGAATGCTCCTACAAAATCAAGAGATATGAGTATGGTAGGAAGTTTGGCTGCCTTGTATGCAGCCAATTTGCTTCGCAGTGTGTATAGTGCTAAAGTAGCACTTTTATTGTGCGTAAAACTGTATTGATTATTGTGAAGAAGATTATTATTGTGCAGGAAATAATACAGACGAGCATTTAAGAGTCTTTCTAATACTTTACTGAATACAGAGTTCATAACTATTGGTCTATATGCATTAGGCGAATTGAGCGGACGTCCTGGCTTTGGTATGAATATTACTTTCCCTCTTTTCAAAGCCTGTGGGAAGTGTCCGATTATTAAGGCGGTATTGAAGATAAAATAGAAAAATTGAGGATGGTATTCAAATAATTCTTTAATGAACGAGTAGGTTAATCCGTCGTGTCCAGGGGCAGAGTGTGAGTTACCCTGTTTCATCGCGCACTCTATCTCAGATATTGTAAAAGGAGGGTCAGAAGTATGCCACGGGTAAGGACTAGCCGCAATGTTACGCATGATAGTGTGGTGCATGCTGTCTTCAGAACAGCTGTCCACTACTACCAATGTATCGAGTAGTAGCCGGGCGGACTCAATTACAGAAGCTGTGCGAGTGCCGTTAGGTAAATCTAGAGGAGGAAGAAAAGTTACTTGGTGATGTTTTTCGAAATGCGGTTTTGAAAACATCACCATATAAACATTTCTTAGTGAGAAAGTCACAAATGTCTTTATCAAACGATTATTTTGCTTTCCTGATTTTGTCCTTGTAGGTTGAGAATGCATCAACGTACAATTTGCGATACATGTCTCGAAGAACGGGGTCAGCTGTTCGCTGGTATCGTCGTCGCATAGCCCGAACACGCCTACGTTCAATAGTCAATTCTGGTGTCCACCAACCATTACCTAAATTACTACGCGATGTTATGCGTCTTGAGTAACGTTGGCCTAAAGCGGAGTATATCGCATAAAACTTGTCTGTAACCATGTTTAGGGCTTCAGGTGACCCGATGTTGCAGCCGAGTATCTTTGTGAACCAAGTATCGTCCTTTAATTTGTTAAGAATTTTCGCTCTTCCTAGACTAGTTAATCGTTTAGCACTGCTGATATGTGCTTGCGAGAACGAGAATTCAATGTAGTTGTGGTCCGAGAGGGTAGGAATTTGGAGAACCTTCCAATGGTAAGCATCGCGAGTCAGGTCATGCAAAACCATGGTTAAATCAATCCATGAATCTGCATACGGAGTTGTGAAAGTTGGAGGGGAGTTGGGGTTGTTCAATATGACTAAGTCATTCGCCGTCACGAATTGGACTACTTGAGAGCCTCGAACATCCCCTATATCTGGCCCCCCCATTCTATGCTTAAAATTGAAATCTCCGGCTATGATGACAGTACAATCTGTAATCAATGAAACTACACATTGCAACTCATCCAGAACTGGGTCAATAGGTCTTTGCGGCGGCGCATACACAGCAATCAGTATTAATGTTTGGTCAAGGCTTTCACACTTTACTGCAACAACCAAATCTGTTACGTGTAAAGGGAAGAAGTCAAAATTAGTGTTGTGCACTAGAAGCATGACGCGAGGATTGTTTGGTGCGTCGAACTTTGTTATGGTGTGTGGTATGCCTTGAACAGTGCCTGCGCGGATGTGCGGGTCACACACGAAGGCGAAATTGAAGTGTTGTTGCGTCATGTGTTCTATCACTAATTTTGTGGCAGCACGTGTATGGTCTAGATTAGCCTGTAAAAATTTTACACGTGTGTGCGTGTGTGTGCGTGTGTATGTGTGTGTGTGCGTGCGTGCGTGCGTGTGTGTGTGTGCGTGTATGTATATGTGTATGCGTGTGTGTGTGTGTGTGTGTGCGTGCATGTGTGTGTGTTTGTGTGTGTGTTTGTCTATGTGTGTGTGTGTTTGTGTGTGTGGTGTATGTGTGAGTGTTTGTGTGTGTGGTGTATGTGTGTGTGTTTGTGTGTGTCTGTGTGTGTGTTTGTGTGTGTGTGCTTGTGTTTGTGTGTGTGGTGTATGTGTGCGTGTGTGTGTGTTTGTGTTTGTGTATGTGTGTGTGTTTGTGTGTGCGTAGTGTAGGTGTGTGTGTTTGTGTGTGTGTTTGTGTGTGTGTTTGTGCGTGTGTGCTTGTGTATGTGTGTGTGGTGTATGTGTATGTGTGCGTGCGCGTGTGTGTGCGTGTGTGTGTGGTGTATGTGTATGTGTGCGTGTGTGTGTGCGCGCGTCCATGCGTGCGTGTGTGTGTGTGGGCGTGTGTGCGTCTGTGTGTGTGTGCGTGCGGGTGTGTGTGTGTGCGTGCGTGCGTGTGTTTGTGTGCGTGTGTGTGTGCGTTGGCGTGTGTGTGTGCGTGCGTGTGTGTGCGTGTGTGCGTGTGTGTGCGTGTGTGTGTGTGCGCGCGCGTCTGTGCGTGTGCGTGTGTTTGTGCGTGTGTGTGTGTGCGTGTGCGTGTGTGTGTGCGTGCGTGTGTGTGTGTTTGTGTGTGTGTTTGTGTGTGTGTTTGTGTGTGCGTGTTTGTGTGTGTGGTGTACGTGTGTGTGTTTATGTGTGTCTGTGTGTGTGTTTGTGTGTGTCTGTGTGTGTGTGTTTGTGTGTGTCTGTGTGTGTGTGTGTGGGTATGCGTGTGTGTGTGTGGTGTATGTGTATACGTGCGTGTGTGTGTGTGCGAGTGTGTGTGAAGGCGTGCGTGTGCGTGTGTGCGTGTGTGAGTGTGTGTGTGTGTGTGCGCGTACGTGCGTGTGTCTGCGTGTGCGCGTGTGTGTGTGCGCGCGTGCGTGCGTGTGTGTGTGTACGTGTGTGTGTTTGCGTGTGTGTGTGCGTGCGTGTGTGTGTGCGTTTGTGTGTGTGCGTGTGTGTGTTTGTGTGTGCGTGCGTGCGTGTGTGTGCGTGTGTGTGTGTGTGTGCGTGTGTGTGCGTGTGTGTGTGTGTGTGTGTGCTACTGCGCGAAGAGCTAGTAATGAGGGCTACATTGTATATATGTTATGCAGAACTTCTCTTTCGCGAAAAGTGTAAATACATCCCCCAAAGCTAGCCCGCTTTCACGTCTGCTTTACGGGAACTTGTACTACAAAAATAAAATTAAACTTGGTGACCATCGCAGACGTAGACATATTACGTAAAGCATGTTTTTGTGTACTTTCATTTCAGTTCTTAAGCACAAATGACTTCATATGGACGTACAACACAAGCAACAAACGGGACAATCACTGGTGTGAGGTGGACGTAACAGAACGACTGCAGGAGAAAAGTATTGTATACAAACACAGCTATTACAGGAAGTTCCCGCTAAAGGAGAAGTATAAAGAAATTTAACGCGGCGTTGCGCTGCACTGCTGACTGTCATTTTTTATTTCCAGATTTTCTGTCATGATGCAAGGCGTCTTTAAATACCCTAATAATATGATTGCCAGCACAAAAGGTAATGAATCGCATTTGAAATTAGTTTTTCCGATATCGTCTACAAAATATCGTGGTGTTGCGTTTCCACGCTTATATAGCCGTACATTCACGCAAAATGATTATGCATTTGAGCACATCCTCCTACACGTACATTTCTTGTAAAAATCTTAAACATTATTTTCCAAAACAAGATATCACGGTGAATGTGTGTTCACTCAAGGAAATGTATTTTTGTGAAATGGGGTCCCGTGCACCACACAGCCTGATAATTCCGAAAGCTTTCAGTTGGGTCGGCGTACCCTGCACTCGGCAGTAATAGCATCCTAACAGTTGTCTAATTGGACGCGAGGGAACGAAAATAGGAATCAGTGTTACCAGTCGTACAGTAATTATGCAATTTTCAGGGTATTTTCAAACTATGTCCACTAGCGTGGGTTAATAGGGCAGTAAGACAATTGATTTTCATCAAGTGTAGCGTATTTTTCACTTTTCGCTGGTCATCAATAGGCTAAAAGCACAGAGGATTGGTATGACATGTCGGAGAGTGGCGTTGCTAAATTGATAACATGAATATATTTCTTTGGATAGAGGTTCTATTGTTTGAATTTTTATATCGCCAGAATAGGACAGAAATGAAAGGTAACACGTCACTCACCCCGGTAAGAGCAATACTGATTATGAATGGCGGCTGGTATCAACTAATTGCTCTGTTTTCATGTGTGAAGCTGGAACGTTACATTTTATGCATGTGTATAATTCCTGTTTATATGTATTCCGGCTTTCAATGTGTGTGCTATTTAAAAATCACTTTGTGACAGTAGTCATGTTTATGATATTGCCATGTACATAGAAGACAAAAGGCTTTTGTCAAGCTGCTGCAACAGCTCTTTTGCCCAGTTGTGTCTCCAGATTGTTTTTTTTTTCTAGTAAATAAAATTGTTCGTTGCGTGGAAAGGCCTTTGAGGGGAAATGGAGGGCAAAATTGGCTGAAAATGTAATTTTTCAAGTTTCATGACACCAGGTTCTGCCATTTTTCTGAAGTGTTCAAATGAAGTGGCGTGTGCCTACGTGCAACGGAAAACATTTAAAATGGCGCCAAACACGGCTGATGCTGGGACGGCACCTACTTACGTTGCGAGTTCTGGCGAGGCGTTAGCTTCGTTGTGAATGTAAGAGCACGCAATAGTGTTTATATGCATAATATTTTAAAATGATAGTATATCGACCTAACTAAGCTATTTAAATTGTCACTTTTAGTCTAATAAACGCGTGACAATCACTGAAGTTTGGGCGCGAAAGCTTATTTCCGCGTTTCCACCGTTACGCTACCCGCATTCTGCAGGCGTGTTCTGCTATGTTTGCCTTTTTGGGCAGCCCTACAGATGTGATTTTATTTTACCAACGCATCGAGGACAAGTCAATGCCTTGGTTTTCATCAAATGCGCGCAAGGAGCAAAAGAAATTACAGCAAAACAACGGAGTGAATAATGATGAGTGGGGCGAAGCGTCTGTCAGTGCAGCCGTGCATCTGTACGTTCGTTCGTTCTTGCTTCCGTCCGTCCGTGCGTCCATCCATCCTTGCGTTCATCCATCTGTTCATACATCCGTCCGTGTGTCTGTTCGTCTGTCCGTTCGTTCATTCATCTAGTGGACACTCCAAGTACCGTCATCTAACATCTTTTTATCACATATTCATCACTACAAGCACCGTCGTGTGTGCTCAGATGTGGGTGCACGTTAAAAAACTCCAGGCGATCGAAATTTCCCGAGCTCTTCATTACGGCATGTCTCATAATAAAACCGAGGTTTTGGGACGTTAAACATCACAAATCAATCAACAAGTACCACCATTCAGCGAACATTACACGGACAAAACGAGAGGTGTCTACCAACTAGTACGACCACGACTACTACGACTTCTACTACATACATCGGGGACGCACGACCCACGGCTTTAGGAGCTTCGCCCCGAAAATTTCTGGAAAGCATTACCACCAAGTGCAGAGTCAACGTACCGAGACGCCGCCAGTGAGTGCAAGCGCTGCCTAGTTTTGAAGTGCAAAGCGAGATTTTTTTTTGATTGCGTGAGTTTCATGTCGCCTGAATAGCGCATATTAGACGTTTTTGGGGAATAATATGATGTATGGCAAACGTTTTACAGCTGGAGCATTTCATCTTGACTTCACGGCAACTCGAACTTGAAATGACAATTTCTTTGAAGCCCTACTCTTTATCAGAGAAGAAATATTTTCTCTGTAACTACTGCAGCTATTAGGTGCAAACTTATGTTACTTTTTTCAGAATAACATACGCCTTTCATGAAAAAAAAAGATAGTGTTGCTACGACCACTTCAGTTATACAAAAATTTTATTGAAAAGAAAGCCTAAAAATTATGTCTTCAAAGGTCCAAGTTTTTCACTACAGCATGTTCCTGCCCATAAATAATATTTTCATCAGAACGACAGCCTGAGCGCAATTACCGACCACAGAAATTTGACCTGTTTACGTTCAAACAATTTTTCACAGATATTTCTTCAAAAATTAAAATATTCAGTTATTTACATTTATTATTTTGAATATTTTCTCACTAAATTTACGAGGCGTGCACTAGAATCTCCTTTGAAGCGCCTTGCGAAATTCAGTAGAGATTGCTTTATATATTACAGAGCGATGGCCAGTAGTAGTGTTAAAGCTGTCTTTACAATCCCCATCCCTTTAAACTGTGGGACAGCTACTGGTTCCACTTCTTCAGGCAGAATTCTTAAGATCCATCCTAAAACAAACTAAGTGACCATAAGTGTGAGCCCGAGTGATGCAAAAAGTCATAATAAAGTCATGACTTCAACCTGTGACGCCTTCGTCTTACCATATATGGCCCACTTTTCGGGCATCTTCATGGCGTCCCACTAACGTAACATCACGTCACACCATGTCATCGTCGCATGACGCTGCCGCTTGCTTAGCCATAGGTGAGCTGACCCTGGAGGGACGTTCAGTCTGAACGACTCGGCATGCAAACACGAGTTTCGAAGTGAACACTTAGCACCTGTAGCACATTCATCCTCATCAACTATCATCATCTCTCTTTAGTCATAGCCCTTCGCCTGTCGCGCTACTCGTGCTCGGAGCTCGAGGCGCTTGCTAGAACCGAACGAGTCCTCGTGCCTAGGAGCTAGGACGCCAGCCGTCACCGCTCCATTTTGACATACAAGAAAAAGTGGCGAAATCCCCACAAGTGTTTCTGCCTCTTGAAACACACTTATAAAAGTACTGATCCTAATATCGGGTGTTTCACGTCCCTGAAACACGATGAGATTATGAGAGACGCAGTATGGGGATACGCTATGCGCAGAACAATTTCGGTGGTGAGTAGGGAGGGGGGGTGCAACTGAGTAATAGAACGACCGCTGATGGCTTTTACTGCTAATAGATGAACCAATAAGGGAGAAACCATGAGTTGTTTTCTGGAAACAGTGGATGTATGTACGCTTTGAACATCATTTTCACCGTGCAGAAACGCGTCCTGCGCGCAAATATGTTTGAGATTCCATCATCATCCTTATTATTATTATTATTATTATTATTAATATTATTATTATTATTATTATTATTTTATAATATTATTATTATTATTATTATTACGTTTTTTCAAGCTGAATTATTGTTATCTTCCAATGTAAAAAGTCTATAGTGTCACGGCCCAACTTTCTGCGCCTTCCCGCAGGTCGCGGGATCGAATGCCGACTGCAGCGGCTGCATTTCCGATGGAGGCGGAAATGTTGTAGGCCCGTGTGCTCAGATTTGGGTGCACGTTAAAGAACCCCAGGTGGTGGAAATTTCCGGAGCCATCCACTACGGCATTTCTCATAATCATATGGTGGTGTTGGGACGTTAAACCCCACATGTCAATCAATCAATTTCTACGCCTTACCACAGGTTAACCGTGCTATTCAAGCTTTTATTTCCCTTTCTGCCTTTCCTGCCGCCAATATACAAGTAGTTTTTACTTATCTCTCGAGAATGTCCTTACGTCTACAACGTTTTGTTTATAATCGAAAGTTTCCAGTAGGTTACTGCCAAAACATACATCCAAGTGTACACCTTCACATTCAATTACAATATAGGAAGTCGTTGGCTTAGCTTACCCACGCATGTGCATTTTTTTTCCTTACTAAGCCCCACTTTAAACTACTTCAATTTACATTCTAACTTCTCGTTTACTGACTAAGTTTAGGCAACCCCACCTCGCTTGAAACAGCATGGTGCTAGCCTATTTATTAGAACGAAATGTGTCCTTTTTTTGTGTTTGCGTTTTGTGTAGTTACTCAGTGCCGAGTTTTTTCAGGGGCGAAGCTCTTTAGTGTATAGGTTATTTTTTCCACTGTAGTAGTAGTAGTAGTATGTAGCTACCTCTAGTTTAGGAGTTTCTCAATAAATGACATTGTTTGCATATGTTCTTGGAAACAGTATCACTAGTAGGCGTTGGTAGTTTTCCGATAGTTGACGATTTTGTATATTTGACGGGCGGACCCGTGGACAGACAGGCAGACATGAACAGACAGACAGACAGACAGACAGACAGACAGACAGACAGACAGACAGACAGACAGACAGACATGGACGGACAGTCGGATAAAACGGGCATACATGGATGAATGAACAGATGCACAGACTGTGTATCTGTTTCATGCTGCGATACATGCTAACATATGCTGTGATATCTTTTTATTGCTGCTATCCAATAATTCCTATCCACCCCTTTGAATCCTCACCTAATGTTGTTTGTTACAATATCATCTACGCTGCCAGCCGTATACCAACTGGTGAATGTTCTACTTCTTCGACTCCGCTGTGAGTCGGTGCTGTTCTTATACCCATACCAAAACATTGTCTTTACCGATGTGCTGTCCTTCCCATTGCATTGTCTGCCTTAGAATTATGTTCTATTGCCCCGTCTTTTGGAACATTCAGGAATAATACCTTTGCCTTGAGAGCCTAAACAATGAAATCACCATCAT